ATAGTGCACACTGATATTCTTTAATTTAAAAGTAAGTTTAACAACATGTTTCAAGAAAAATGTTTCTGCATGTACATTAAAAGAAATAAAAGTGGGTTCCCATGAATTTTCACGGAACCGAAAAATTGTTACAGATAAGTAGTTTCCCATGATTTCTGGGCACGGAACTGAAATTTTGTTGTCCATGGGATTTGAAACCCTAGGGCTTGTCCATTGAAGAGAACCAGGCCATGACCCTTTAAGTCTCAATATCCACATACAAATTCTCCAAACTGATCTCTATACATTTCCTTTAAGAATGAGTTGAGAGAATTTGATAAAAGATCAAAGTATTTTCTCTTAGGTGATCATTTATTTAATTCTCATAACCTCATCTCATGATAATGTATGCGTAATGTATAGGAGAAAATTGCTGTTGTCACTAATGGGACTTAAAGGGTTAATTACATTTGCCTTCAACTGGGGCCAAGGAATCTAAAAGTTACTTACAGTTGGCACTTGCAGCACCTCCTTGACAGCTCAAGCAAACTGTGTATAAACAGATAAGCAACAAGAAATGAGGGCCGAACACAAATAATAACACAAAGAGAAAGTTATCGTTACGAGTAGCAAAAGAGATCAGAAGCATTTCAAAATGTGCTGCATCTGCACAGAAAAAGGACCACAGATAGTTTTCACTATTGGGGGTCACTGAATCATTTCACAAAAAATTAAGTCAACACAGGCCACTGTCACCTATCACCACTATACTGGAAGACCCATTAGAGTAAATGCCAAAAATTGACATGGCAGATGAATTGGCAAAAAATGACCCAAGGATAGACTGTAATTGTGACAGCAGACATGCAATGGTAAAGTAATAAAATCCCAGAAGGGAACAGGGCTTCTTCCTTAATTCATCAAATTAAGGGGGTGTTTGCATTACACTGGGGCGACTTTCGCACCGCCGTGAATTTCACTCTGGTTCCCTCTCATGGCTCTATATTTGTTTACATGATACCACCACAAAATGACATGCCAGTGCGAGACACTCTGGTGTGAGTTCACCCCGGTTGTTGTACCGTAGCAAGAATTCTCTTCGGTACAAAATTTTGCACAGGTATCATGGGCCTTTTTTAATTAAGATAAAAAAATCCCGAAATTTCAGTGAGAAAAAAATGGATTCTCCAATTCTATATTTTCACTCAAGTGAGAAAGCAGAAATAAAAATGGAAACCTTTTAATACAGAAACTCTCGAATCTGGGAAATGAAAGAGGATAAATATACAAAAAGCCTTGCCAAGAATCAGGTCTATGCAATAGTTCATCTGCGAGATATTCAGAAAAACGTTTTACCCAATTTATAAAGCTTTGTATGAAGACGCCATGTTTGTGTCCCTTTCAGGGGCACAAATATGGCCGCCGGAAACCAACTGAAACAGCTGTTTTTGAGTTTTCCTACTTGTGCATGAATTCTTCGCTTGAGGAACTCATAAAGATTTAAAGGAACAGTATCCCGTTACTGCGCATGCACCAAACTTTGAATTTTGGACAGGATGTCGCGAAATCAAAAGATGCGAGGAGAGTAAGAGAATCTTGAAAAATCCGTTTGCATCGCGCTTGGCCGGGTTCAATACGACACTAAAACTTCTCAGGATTATGGATCAATGATATATTGTTCCTGTTAAGTTTCGATTTGGGCAAAATCTGAATTTTTTGGCGTTACTTTTATTGCCGTTGGCCGGAGGACCAAAAGATTGGAAGCACTTTAATGCCGATTGAAGGCTTATTTCTTCTGCTAGCTTCCATACAAGCTCAGATAATTGTGAAAGGAATACGCAGAAATGAAACAGCAACAATAAAGACTGTAAGAAAGAAACCGTTGAGACATTGATGTGACTGAGGAGATCTTGTGGAGGGGAGATTCGTGAAGCAGAATGTTTTGCAACGACGCGTTAGTAAACTTTTAAATGAATCTCCCTACGGCCGACAAAATCAAACAAACAGGCGTTACATGTTTTGAAAAACTATTGACATGATATCATAATATCATTTTTGACTAACCTTTGTGATGATTCATAGTGTTGAGATTGCATTTTTATTTATGTCTTTCAAACGTTTGAGGCTAGAACGCGAGCAAATCAGGCCGATATTACTGGACTTGGAGCGATTGACCTCTGACACGAGTTTCAAATTAGAAAATATGTTTTTAAAGCGAGCTGAACGAGATTTTCGGGTCGCGAGGCGGCCCAGCTAGCGATAAAATCGCGATGAGTCTTCGAACCGCGAGCCAAATTTTTATATAAGACGAAAGACTTCTTCGAAAGTCTAAAATATTACTTGAGAATATAAACAAAAAATCTCTGTCGGTGCCTGGTGCGGTCCGGAAGGAAATCTTGTTGAGTCAATTTGACAGTTCTATTGTCTTTTGAAGAAAAAACAGATGATGCTTGCGCGTGCGCATAATTGGGACACTGTCCCTTTAAGTAATATTTATTCTAAGACAAGGGATGTTTAGATAGCAAAATCTCAAAAAATCCGTAATGTTTTTAACCCACGTAAGAGCTTTCCTGGCCGCCAGCCAAATGCTTCGTCATGCAAATACCTAGAAATTCAAGCGTCCTGTATCGCAAAACAAAGCACCCTTTTGAGTCGAAAATTTGTTTTTAAGGTGCTCTAGTATCACATGATAGTAGAAACTCAGAGGAAGCGATAGTTTCTTAGTTTGAATTTTGGTGACGTCATGTGAAAACCAAGAATAGGTTAAAAGTGGTTCCATTTGATTGTAAACCCCCGTAAGGTGCTGAGCCGTTACCTGACAGGACACCAACACAGCTGCCAAGTTGGTAACAAATGGAACCAGGGTTTGAGCTAGGATTAGATCACTAGGGGACAATTTGTCCCCTTGGCGAAAATTTTGCGGGACATTTTCATTTTTAGGGGGACAGAAATTTGTACACCCTTCTGCTGATGCAAAGGGGTTTGTCTTCTTAGCAGGGCTTCTGACAGGTCTCGGAAGAAAAAATCAAATTTCACGGGATTTTTAGGGACAAATTCGCGGAAAAATCGGCCGATTCGGGAATTTTGCGGGAGTTTTCGGGGCAAACTTCACTGAAAAGAATTCGGTAAAAAACGGCCGATTTTGTGGTTACTTTCAAGGCAAATTTCGCTAGAAATCAAGCGGTTTTGCGCTGATCAGACCAGCCTTTTTAACGTTTTTCTAACAGAGGTCATCATTTGCTCTTTCAACAACAATACACTCCAGAAATGAACCAATGGCAAAGCCTTGAACATCATGGCTAATGCCCAGTTTGTTTGCACGTTTCAGTGACGAAGTTCCAAGATAAATTTGCAAGTTTACGGAAAGTAAATAGCCCCTATGGCTGAAATAACTTTCAAATATGTTGTACAGACATGTATTTGATAAGATTTCTACTGAATTTCGCGGTATTTTTCGTGTTTTTGTGAATTTCGCGGCTTCGCGACCACGCGAAATATCAGAAGCCCTGTCAGATTTCCGACAAAAATAGCATTAGAGCGTGACTAAAACGTGACCCTAGAGGGAACTTTAAACGTGCGTTCTGTTTCAGCTTGCAATTTCTGTACTGAAATAAAACTCTTCGTGTGTGCTTTCTTTCGTGTTTTTTCCCTAAATTTTGAAGGGGACAAATTGTCCCCTTGGCCGTTTTTTAAAGGGACAATTCCAATTGCAGTGCGGGATTGGCGCAATGGCGCGGCCTGGCTCAAACCCTGTGGAACTGGTATTAAGCACGAAGAAAGTCCTTTGTCCGATTTAATATGGTGCGGGACGAAGGACTTTTCATACTTAATTGGTATCATACGGTGGCTCACAACCGTCACGGCAAAACCAAAAACCTCGCGGCAAAAACAAAATACCTCACAGCAAAACCAAAAACCTCACAGCAAAACCAAATACTTCACAGCAAAGGCAAAATAGCTTTGGTTTTGCTGTGGGTATTTGCTTTTGCCGTTTGTGAGTTGGTTTTTGCTGTGAAGTATTTGGTTTTGCCGTGAGGCTTTTGGTTTTGCCATGAGGTTTTTGTTTTTGCTGTGAGGTTTTTGGTTTTGCCGTGAGGTATTGTTTTTGCCGCGAGGTTTTTGGTTTTGCCGTGACAGTTGTGGGCCACCGTATGGTACCAACCTTTTTAGAATTTCTACTTTTTCCGAGAATTTTCCCGTGGGACGAACCAACGAACGTTTCCCATTAACTGCCGAACTAAAATTTCTTGAAATTTTGACTAAATAGAAAGTGCCCATGTAAACGCAAAACGACCACCCGTTTCAGTGTGAAATCAGTCTGCAGGTGGACTGAAAAAGGTAGCACACGTATTATGTTTGTGACTTTGAATTGCAGGGGTATTTTATCAATATGAAGTGTACCTTCAAATAACCCTTTAAGTCCTACAAGTGATCAGCATCAAATTTCTCCTTGTAATATCAATGCTTTATAAAACAGATTGGTGATGAGAATAATGGACATGATCACACAAGATAAATTTGCTTGATATTTTATTATCTTCTCCCCACTACTTCTGTAGGAAATGAATAGGGGCAACAAATGAGAATTCAGATTTTGATCTTAGGGTTTAAAGGGATAACCGGAATATGAAATGACCCATCCTCATGAAAATACGATACGAAATAAACAAGTCATCCCGGGATGAAACTTGCGCTGGTGCAAGTTTTCTCATGCAAACACCCCCTGAGGGTTTTTTAGCTTCAGCCACCACCCACTGTAAGAGCCCCCAGTGTATGTGTGAACAATAAACTTTGGGTGCGTTCCTTATGGATAATCTGGATCATGACCAGTGATCTAAGATCACTCCGATTATCATGTATCAAAGGAACTCATGAAACTACTCTGAGGAAGAATTCATAGATTCATTTTTATGCAACCTGATCTGAGTGAACACAGATCATCTCAGAGGAATGCACCCTTAGATTGGGGAACAAAATACATGGGGTTCAATAAAAAAGAAATATTGGCTCCTGCACTTACCACAAGCAAGAAGAACAAATGACAAAATGATGATTTTCTCCATCTAAGAACAAAATGAAACTCTTATTTTTGGTGCACAAAGATAAACAAAAAACAGACAATGGGTTATTCCAGAAAAATCCACACCTTCATGACGGAAGGCATGCTGGAAAATCTCAGGGGAGGGGGGGGGTGTTAACGGCTCTGGAAATCCAGAGGGGAGGGGGGCTCTGAACCTAAAAATACATCCTTGGGGGTAACTTTCAATTTCATCGATGTTTTAAACACTTCTATCGATAAGTTTTCAAAAAATTGCTTTGCCTTTTCAAATTTTATTATTCTTTCAAACTACAGACCTCTCACCACCTTTACTTTAAGTTTCCATCCATAGGTTTGCCTTCCTTACTTTTGTAGAAACGACGAGCGATAACTTGAAGATATCAAGAAAATCACATAATTCATAAAAAGCGCTCAGTTTAAGTTAAGTAAACAATGATTTTACCTTGAATTATACATTTTTCCAAGGTTAATACTATTTCAGGGTGATCTACCACTAAACAGACCTTACAAGTACATTTTGTAAGCGTGGTTGTTCATGATTGTTTGGCGGCCATTTCGAAAGGCAAGTGATACGGGGCATCATGAAATATTCCGGCAAGTGTCCTTTTTCTTTCTTTCACAGTCATTTTTTATTGACAAAGAAGAGAACCATTTAATATTCAAGAAAATATTTAGGTTTGAGCTTTATTGTAGTATATATTGCTGTATATTTTGCCTGTTCTAGAAAAAAAGAGAAGTTCACTGAAATATGACCTTATTTGCAAACAGTGTAAGCCTGTTTAAGAAGATGTGAAAATGGAATCTTAACGTGCCCAACAAACGCAAAATTCACAGAAAATTGAAACTTGTCTAATAAAAAGATCATGTAAGTGAGTTAAAGTAAAATCACAGTGTCTAACAATTTTGTGCAAATCCATACGGGTGGGGGGGTCTTTGAACTTGGAAATCCTGAGGGGGGGCTCAAGCAGTTTTGGAAATCCAGGTGGATGGGGGGTGCCTTTTATCGTGCGGATGTGGATTTTTTCTGGAATAACCCAATTTTATTGGTATATCATTGAATAACAAGATCAATAGTAAAATGTTGTGTTAGCTTAGAAATTTTATTAAGAGATGGCAAGGGGTTTGATGCGTAAATTTCTCATCTTTCCCTTACCTATTATGAAAATTGTTTCTTAACCATAGTCCACAGTGTTCATTTTTCTACAATCAGGCTCTCACTTTTTTATTTAAATTAATGTTCATGCTCTCATAAATAAAAAAGAAAACCTATCGCTTGAATTAACAGCTTAACATATTTCACGAACAACGTCAGATAGGCTTGAGTGCGAAGTTCACATCAATCAGAAAGGGACGCCGATTTCCGGCATTTCAAGGAAAAAAGATGACTGGAATTCAAAACCTCCACGCGGTGAAATAATTTCTATTTCTCCGGTAACTTCATTCCTCATATCTGTGAAGGTTTCCGAGCTCTCTTTATACCAGTATACCTTGATCAGAAGCTGCCAATAATAAATTGTTCGTAGGAAGAATGCCAACGAGGAAATGTCTAAAATTTTACGAACTACATGTCGCTAGCCACGACAGGGGCTTTGTTTTAATTAACGTTTGCTTTCGATATGAAACAATGCGTTTGACAAACCGAGGTCACTTATGATACTTGCGTATTTTACAAAGTTTTGTTCTCGGCACGTGCATACGGCTGAAGTAATACAAAGGACTGGCCTTAGCTTCCTTCGATTGTGAAACACGTTCAGCGAATTGAAAAGTGAAACATTGATAGGCAAATAAGGTTCACGAATAATGCTATCGATGAACAGTGTACATGTCCACTCCTGTAATATATTATATTAAATAATTATGGACGTGTCTACCTCTTAGTTACATTTCAAACTAGTACAACATCAATAATTAAGCACTAGTATTACGAAACTATATTGGCAACGGATGGTTTTCAGTTAAAACATCTATTTTTTCTCGCGCGCGCCCGAAATTAACCAGACTTCAATTGCTAAATGGACCAAGGAAAGCAAATTGCAAACGTTTCCTTCGACTTAGCGAACAAGGCTCAGTTTATGAGGAAAATGAGAAGCATTTCGACTTTGTATATGCACGTAAGTCGATCGACTTTATGGTCAAATGAAATAACGGACATGGTTTCAGTAAAGAATAAATAAAGAAATCGTGATCAACATCCAGCGCGCGTTTTAACACGTACAGAAGGATTAAGATGAGCGAACGCATTTCGAAAAAGAGGGCATCATTTCTATTTCAAGCTTGGTTTATATAAAATGGTGTAATCGTGTGAACTTTCACATGGAGTTAAGCGGTTTTTAGGGTGTTGTTCCGCGACCATACCATGGATCTTGTCGGGCGTTCATCGCTCGTCAATATTAAACAGCGCTAAATACTGGGTAATTTCGCGCTCCACTGGACGAGAAAAAAGTGGCTACAGTTAACAAAGCGACTGTAGTTCCGTTTAGGTATCGCTTAATTGACTCAACAATACAAAACAAAGTGATCACATCATTCTCATGCTGTAGTAAAATCACGCGGAGTTATTATAAGGCGCACTGCTTGTGGCTGCCATGCTGATTTCGTAATCAACAGTGTGCCGTCCACAGCAAGAAATTAACCTTACTATTCGGCATTGTAAAAGTCCTTTTTTGTTCAACAAAAATCACTGCAGTTTATTTCACGGCATGTGAATGTTGCGTTGGATCCAAAATGGAGGGATCAACTCAATATATAACAGCCACGTCCCCCAAAAGTTGCATCGACAAAATCTTAATTATTTTAAGATAAGCACAACATGATGAAAAATTAAATTAACAGAGCTTTAAAGCTTACTAAGAAACTGAAATATAACAGAATATAAGCGTAGTACTGGTGCACAGATTGTATTCACAAGTTAAAAGGAGTAAAACAAGGCGGCGGCCTCAGATCGGTCACTCTCTTAATCGAACGATGAACATTAAAAATGATGATCTTTTACATTATTGAATGTTGTATGCCGATTTTTTTGCGCAGCCCAGTTCCTTACTAGTATAGGGTGGACGGACTTACCTCGAGATGTAAGTTTTTTTCGGAATGAACGATTCAAACTTTGGAGACACAAACTTCGCTGCACCAACGCCTTCAACGAGAGACCTGACTTTATGGCAGCATTTCCTATTTGACTGAAAGGCGAGGCACATGATATTCACGTGATTTGTTTTGTTATCGTCGCTTACGTAAGGCATTAGGAATGTGTCACTTACCCGGGCTCCTGAGCTCATGCCTTTTCTCATTTAAAAGATTCTTAAAAGGCCATTAAAAAGTGGATGTGTTGAAGCGATTTAGTGATTTCATTTGATCATTACGAAAGTGCTAAAAACATAAATCAGTAGAAGTCTGTAAATAAGAAGCAACAAAGATTAGTTTTACTAGACTTCCACCACGTGGTCTTAGGCGCTGGCATGGATTAACTCAAACAGTTGATTGACAGATGAAGTAGGACATGGTGTGTGCACTTTGAGTTTTTCGAATACACGACATGGCAATGATGAACGATGCGCCAGAGATAGGGGAAGTTTGCATTGCAAAGGGATTTGAAATATTTCCAACTTTAGTTTCGAATAGAAAGGATCGATTTTTTCCTCTTTAATTTAAATTTAGTAAGAACCTGTCAAATTAGGCATAAATTGCGCTTTGTAACCTGGGAGAATTTCGAGGGCGTCTAAAGCATCCATCTCCTCAAGTTTGGATCGGCGTGATAACCGCCATCCGTATAAAATTTCGTTTGCCATTACGTTGGTTGGGCAAAAAAGAGGAAAAAAGCCAAAAATTATTGAGCTCGAGGAAGGCTGGGTCAAGGAAACGCCTGGGTATTATACTTTGGCTTGCCATGTTTGTCTTGATATCGAGAAATGCTCTCCAAATGTTTCTTATGGTTGAGTTGTACTATTTGTAAGAAAAACCTGACAAGTTCTCGTTTCGCCGAGGTTAGAAACTAAAATTTTGCCTTACTGGGCAGTGCACCTGGATTTGTTTTTTCTAGTTTTCTAAAAAAAATTTACTTAGTAGGGAAAAAGACTAGCAGGCCAGCCGAGTAGACAGCACACTGGTACAGGCTGGCTGTAGCACAGATCCTATCTAGTCCTTCAGCTACATGTTCTACGGATATTTATGACTATCGTGAAAACAAAGCCGTTGTCAGGGATTTATAAGTTTGGGAGTGGTGCTGTGGTCAACTTTTAAAATAGATTTACCGAACCTGATAGGTCATATACGTTTTAGTGTGCGATGCTTCCTTTGTAGCTTTGCGTTTCTTAGGGATAGACAGTTTTGTTTACTCCTTTGTCAATCCCCAACTTCCGTTTCCTTGCACGTGTCTGCAAACACCACGCAACTGAAGACTTGAGCTTTGTTCTTATATTCGTGACAATAACCTTGAAAGGAGATGACAAAGGTCATTTGCTAAAGCCATTATAGCGGGGCTCCCGCGCGCGCGAAGCGCGCGTGGGACAGAGCCCCATACCCATGGAATATGGTCAACCTCTTTTCGTTTGGTTGTCACGTGATTGACCGAGCGTACGTACGTACGTACGTACGTACGCGTCTACAGATTGTATGGGTGGGGTAGGGGAGACTATCAAAAGGAAGGGAGGGGTGTCTCAGGCGTGTCTTGGCAAGCCCACATCTTTAATATAGGACATTAACAATATGGTTAATTGACAGCTGTCCAAACAGGATAGCCACTGACCAGTATCCCATGACCATATCGCGGGCTCATGTGTCAACTCATCGAGGTGACGTGATTTATTTGGAAGCTGTCCGCTGACCAGTTAACTGTTTTACTAGATCGCGAACAACGTTCAATCTCATACTTTTACTAGTTTGGGAGCACAGGAAAACTGATAATGCACACATATTGGACATCAATGTTTTGATCAATTGACAGCTGTCAAAACAGAGTACCCGCTGACCAGTATCACTTGACCGTATCGCGGGCTCAGGTGTCGACCCGTCGAGGTCAAGTATTTTTTGAAGTTATCCGCTGACAAGTAAACTAGTTTTCAAGTGATCGCAGGCTCAAGTTCAATTTTTTTCTTAATTCATATGAAATATGTTGTGTTTATGTGCTGCACAATTAAAATTTTGATTGCAAACTGACCTCAGACGTGAAAATTCAGCCAGCTGTTACAGGCAGGGAAGACAGTTGCTTTTGTTTTTTCTCACAATGGTCACGCGTTGGTCACGCTCTACGTCCAATTTTTATGCTCTGATTGGTCAAAATTTGACATGTGAGTTCATGCGCAAAATTTATGCAGCATCTTGAATCTTGTTTACTTTAATAGCTGAAGCTTACAGAGTTTTGTGTCAACTTGTGATGTTTTTAACTGTCTTTTTCCACTGGATGTACAAAATGAAATTCAGCTGCTATCAGGAGTCTTCTGTTACTCATGGCTAGTTTGTTTATTGGGTTTTTGGTTGAGAAAACGTCGCTTGTCAAAGTCGGAAATCCGATTTCGGATGGCATCGTTTTCGTTTTCACCTTGCTTGATGCGTAAGAGGATTGCAAAGTCTGAAGCGATACTGGCTTTACCTGATAACTTTCAGGAGCTGCATCTCGAATGGTAAGCCAGAGAAATTATTGTATTTCATGTTTGTTTTTTGTATCTAATTTAATGAAGTGGAGCGTAGTTTATGCGAGAATTTAGTTTATGCGCGTTTGTAAGTTTTGAGACAACGATCTCACCGAGTATCTGGTTTGATATAATCTTACAGAACTTTAAAAAGCCTTTAGACAGTTTCTCACCGCAAATAGAAAGAAAATGTTCCAAAGAATCTTTAATTATAATTCTAGCTGGAAAAGAAAGCTTTGAGCGATTTTCTTGCCTCGAGTTCGTCTTTGAAAAAACAAACACCGGGAAGCTGGCTTAAAACATAAACTTCAGCAAACTTAAGCTTGAAGCTTGAAGACTCAGGATATTTAGGGACACTTTAATACTTGTCTTCCTGAATGAAAATTGTTGTCTCTGTTTATGTTTCACCGAATTATATTTCTTTTATTGATTGTTGGTAGTCTCTCTTGCAATTTTAATCGCTATGCCGATTGTTTTCAGTCGTTCAGTGAACATCGCTTGCAGGAGTTCTCAAAATGCCGCGCGTTAAACCATCAAATAAAAAATAAACATGATAAATTCTTTATTATCTTGGAGCGTAACTCTGTTAATGTTCATTCAAACACTCGCTACAGCTCGCACTACAAAAAAGTGAGAACCGGATGGCCGTATAGGTGATTTTGGAAAAATTTTTTAACAGTTTATGAATATTGAATGAGAGCAATTTGTATTGTGAAATACTGCTTTCTGTCCATGGTATAAAAGGTTGGTTTACACGCACCCAGATTTGTTGGCAAGATTTTGCAAAGTAAACTTGTCGAACGCCAAAACGTTGGCCTGATTTTTTTCTAAGCCTAATTGATCTACGGTGATCAATAGCCATTACGGCTCTTAAATGTGATAAAAGATGATTACCAGTTTTTGAGTGTACATATGAGGCTATCAACTCGATGTAAGATTTGGTTCACTCTTGGGCTGTTTGCAAATTATTTTTCTCTAAAATCAGGTAGCCTTTCCCTCAAAAGTCACATAAATGTGCTCTAAAGTTAACTGAATTGTGGAATTCGAATACAAGTTTATTGTTTAATTTAAATTATAAATTTACTAATGGGAGCCTCGCTTTTAGCCCTGGCTAAATCTATATATTATGTTACTTATCAATCGATAAGTAACTTACTTGAGTTACTTTTCCCCGGTGTGTGTGTCCACCCCCGTTCTTATCGCCCATTCCGGCTTTTTAATGTTCTAATGCTCGTTTCATTATCCTAGTCATTAAGAAGGTTTAAGAAAACACTAAATTCAAAGCCTCGCTCCACTACTTTGCTTTATAGAGTTCAACGTAAAATACCCTGGATAGTTGGGTACTCTACTGGTAACCAAGGGCTTTCTCTCGCGTGCGGCGGGATACTTCGGTGTCGGATTTCTGAAGACACGTACCACGCACGAAAAATCTCTGAGACCGAGGCCTCGTTCCCAAGTTCTCTCTCTTACCCTCTCCCACTCAGTAGGGACGGGTAGGGTTGGAGGTAGGGACGGTAAGTGTAAAATCAATGTACAGTTGAACCTCGGTGTAACGAACCATGCCACTGTTCAACGAAGTCCTCGATATCACGCATGATATCTTCTTTAGTAAAATCCAACTAGTGGTCTATCATCAATGCTGAGTTCTGATTGGTTGAGCTACAACTAGTCTGTATGTTATAACCCACTAGTAGCGCAAAACGCCGGTGTCACAGTGATATGGGCTTGGGCATCCCCGCGTTTTGGGCATCCCCATACCCATATCCCACCGGGGATGCCCAAAACGCTGATCGCTTCGACTTCAGACTGGGGAAAAGTCGGGATTGTCAATCACGAATTTACGGCTGAATAGTGTAGATGCATGTTAGAATTATATCGTCTGACACTTTTCGCCGGGTTTATTGCGTAGAAAAAAAAAACCATAGGCAGTAAACGTTTGCTCAAAACATGACGAAACTGAAATTTACAACCGCATAACATCGCTTCGCTGTACAACACTTCATTGTTTGCAAACCTTCAATTTCATTTAATGGACCTGTTTACAAGCGAGCAATGCCGCAATCGCCAGCAGCTGCGATCGTCTGATTCCAAACGGCCAAAAACAAGAATACTAAACAAAGCAATCAAAAGACAAACATGAATAAAACTGCGTTTTGGGGTGTTGAATTGGTGTGCATGACATTTGAGACCTGTACAACTTAACGCCACAGCGTTACTTGACACACGAAAGGCTGTCAAACAATTTGCTGGTTTTCACTGTCACGCCATTCAAAATAGATCAAAATAAAAATCAAAACCGTTCAATAGATAAAGTCCAGAACCTGGGAAATGAAAGGAGGTACATATACAAAGACCCTCGTCAAGATTCAGATCAGATGAATATTTCGTATAAGAGATATCCGAAGAAATGTTTTACCCAAACTATTGAGACGCCACCCTGGTGCTCACCTGGATGAGCTCCAACATGGCGGACGGAAACCAAAATAAACATCTGTTACCGAGTTTTGCTACAAGAGCGTGAATTTATTCTTCGAGTAACTCATAAACATTAAGGCAATACTTCTTCTAATACATGAACTGTTTAGATAGCGAAATTTCCTGAAATAAGTCTTGTTTTTAGCCTAGATGACAGCTCTCTTGGCCGTCATGTAAATGCCGCGTCACGCAAAAGCTTAGAAATATCACAAAACCAAGAACCCTTTTGAAGCAAAAATTTGTATGAAAATTAGTTTTCAGCTGCTCTTATACATCGTAAAAGTAAAATCTCGGTAGCTAGGATCGATAGTTTTTTAGTTTGAATTTTAGTGACGTCATGTGAAAACCAAGATAGAATTGGCGCCCACAAGAAAATATTTCTGATGTACCGGGCGTGACATTCGGCGTGACATAAATTGATGTTCAAGGCTACACTTCAGAAATATAACTTCTGATCTTTGGCTTCACATAAAATAATAACAAACGGGAGCTATAAGAAGGACTCCGGTTTACAATGCCCTTTGACAACCTACCAAAAGATGCCTCACCCTTTCAAAAAAACACTGAAAACAGAAGAAATTTAGCGTATGTTTTCGATTATCAACGCGGGCATCTTAAAAAACCACGATCAAGATGGTGCATTGGCAAATAAATAAAATTTGTAACTAACCATTTCCATCGTGTCCTTGTAGTAGTCAGGCCAGTAAAACCGCTCTTTGATTTTCGTAAGAGTATTATCGCGGCCGGCGTGTCCAGAAAAAGGAGCAGAGTGGCGCTCTCCGACGCACTGTGCCACCCTTCTCCTTGGCCACGTAGAACAAGGACTCTAATTTTGAGTCATACTCGAACTTTTTGGCAGATTTTCGCTGAGTCGTTTTGTCTTGCTTTGTAAAGCTTTCCGGATAAACCTTCTTTTTAAGATATCTCTAAAACGTTTTCGATTTTCCCCTGAAATCCAAAATTTTTTGGAGGGGATGACCAAAGCACTAGGGATTTGGGCATCCCGGGAGGGTACCGGGGGATGCCCAAAACGCTGCAGTAATATGAGAAGGGGATGCCCAAAACGCTAGGGATTTGGGAATGGGGATGCCCAAAACGCTGTGACACCGGCTTTTTGGCAGCAAAAAGGATTAAAGACTAGCTTTAACTAGCTAAAGTTGTTTTGTCTCGATATTTTTTACCAACCAGTTGGATTTTACTAAAACAATTTTTCCTCTCGCCCCCACGGCCTCTGCTATCGACTCAGAGCCCTTTCGGGCTCAAGGAATAATTGTCGGCCTATGGCTAGTAATAGCACATGTAAAATATCAGATTACCAGTAATCGGCTCCTGAAAATATGTAGAAAAAATACCTCCATACAACGAAACATTTTGTCAATCCCTTGATTAGTTAGCCAGCCGGTTGTTCGAGAAATCCCCCCTGACTTAGTTCTCGTGGATTCCAAGTTGTGCTGCAATCCCAGCAGGGCGGGTGCGTGCGATGAGCCCTTAAGGGGATAGACTGTTCAAAGTCCTCTCTTCTTCTGTAAGATCGTCGAGATCGAGCGCTTTGCGTTACGGGCTGCTATCTTGCATGAGTGTCAAAACTACTTAGGGTGCGGGAACGGTTTGGGAGGAAGCGAGAAAAATAGAGGGACTATCACAGTCCCTCTAGTTTCCTGGCCCCCCTCCCCCTAGAGCTATAATACCCGACGTCCGACTCCTCGGTACAAATCAAGATGGCCGCATTTAACGGTAAGACGCGCTATATCTCGACGATCTCACGAAAAAATGGGGGACTGTGAGCAGTCTATTAAGGGGAGGTATAGAGGTACCTCTAAAGCAGGTCCGAACAGCTTATGTAGTGTTAGCCTGTGAACAGGCTCTCTGTTTGGGGAAAAAACGAGGAAAGGGAAGGGAAAGGCCTCAGTCACAGGCCAATGTAGTGTCATCGGCAGCCTCTTCCGGACTACAGATCATACTGAATGCATAGAGAATGGCGCGAAATGTACCCTGGGTACCAGAGGTTTTTCTCGCGAGCAACGGGGAGCTTCGCGCGTGTCACTTTTTAAGACTTGACCGAAACTGGAAACCGCGCATGAAAAGCCTCTGGCACCCAGCGTACGCGAAACGGGGATCCGATGAAAAAAAAGTCGGAAGAGAGGGGAGGAAGAGGGAGATAGGAGGAATGTGCGAACAATTCTTGCAAGCCGGACCACTTGGACAAACAGCAGAGAGGGAAAGCAGGATCTTGCATGTTGTAGATCAGGATCAGCAATATAAACTCTTTCCTGATAACAGTTAAAATTTGAGGCAACGCTGATGTTAATAATTTACAAATTTATTTGCTCAATATTTCGACTAGACAAAACTAGTCTTCATCAAGGGCTAGAAAAGCTAAGTAAGTCGAGAATAGAATAATACAAAAATAGAAATAAAATATAAATTCGTTTTTTGAGTAGAAAGTATTTCGTAGAGCGCTCGACTCAATTGATTGAGGAGCGTCAGCTATAACTTCACAGAAGTTCAGGTTTCACGAGTAATCATTGTTTTATTGCTACGGAACTGTTTCGTGTGGTGCAAGGACCACACTCATCAGGCAATTGTTCAGTCGTCAAAATTGCCTGATGAGTGTGGTCCTTGCACCATACGAACCTGAACTTCTGTGAAATAATTAAAATATATATATTATTATTTGCCTTTGAATTATTTTAAATACTGTAAGCGTTCGGCTATTCTCACTTAGCTTTTCTAGCGCCTGATGAAGACTAGTTTTACCCGTTTGGAATATTGAGTAAATAAATTTGTAAATAACCAACCCTTGGTTAACCGATCAGCCTTACCTTCAATTTATAAACCAGGAGCACCCAACGGCAATTTTCGGGAAAATATCTGTTCGGAAGACGATTTGAGAACTAGAATTTTCGGAACATTTGTTGTAAAACTTCTTGCTTGCCTGCCTCTCCTAGGATTTTCGCACATCTACAAAACGGTATAATTGCCCATTTTAAACGGATATTTACCCTAAAAAAGGCCACCTAGAATTTTCGGAAACCTTTTCCTGGCATAAAATTTTCGAAAAGGTAAGTTTTGATCCCTATTATTTTCGGATCACTAGACTTTCAGCTAGGAAATCCGAACAGATGAAAAGTTTTTAGGGGATAAAAATATGCCTATATCTACCGTTTAACTACTAAAATAGGTTCAACAACGCTATGTTGAGTGGTTTTGAACTATATCCTCGTTGGGTGCCCCTGATAAACTTTTATCACGAACCTAATAGAGGCTTTTGCTTATTAAAATGCCAAAACTTTCATTTGCCAAATCAGTTGTCCGCATGGGGTGCTGGACTATTCTACAGGTCAACAGGAGCCGAATAGTATAATCTACTTAAGGTTTACAAAACGAATGAGTGAAATGTAATTTACTGTATGACATGTATAATTTAATGTCAGCTAAAAGTTTTTTTTTAACAGGTTAATTATGTCATTATTATCACTATTTATGACCGGATGTGCACCTGTTGCCCTTCGATACCAAAATTTAAGTTCTTGTCGTGTTCTATGCCGATCAACCCAGAGCCAAGGCTAGAGCTAATGGAGACAAGAACAAAGCGAACGTCAAAAAAGCAATAGGGTTTGATAAGCGTAAGAATTTTGCGCGTTCGTTTTTTTGGTTCATTTCTTTGTTGTCACCGGCGTACTGACTACTGCGTGAAATTCGTTTATTGCCCAGCTCATCCTACTTTGCTCTAATTGGCTGAGAAGCACTGTGACATTCAAGTTCGAATTGTTAGAATTCGTGCTTGGCTCGGCTTGGCTCCAAAAAGGTTGAGGGAAATAATGCAAAATAAATTAATTATTAACCCCTGGATTTTAATGCCATTTCTTTTGTCATATTTTCGCCTTAGGGCCAAGTATGAATTTTAACAATTCGAACTGGCCTCTTACAGGAGCCTTTTACACTTGTACCCACAAATGGGCTACTGACTGCGTATACCGGGAGGCAGGCGTAACACGCGAGAAGGGAAGTCGCGAAGTCGCGAGGCGCGACAAGCGAGCGCGTGTCCCGTGGCTCGCCTGCCTTGCCAACCTCGTCGTTGGTGCCTTGCGTAGGAAAAATAGGAGACTACCTAGATGTCTAGGCTAAATTTTATGGAGCCCAGCAGACTCCTTAGTTATATGTTTTTGTCGACTTGAAGGTACTCAACGTCCGACTGAGGGCTCCCAACATAAACTGCAGCGCTCTTGTTTATAATTTTGATGTTTGCCGCCTCTTATAATTAGTCTCCTCTACGACCTCTACTAACTATGATTTAACCCTCGGACGTACAAGCAAATGGAAGCCCTCCCCAGAATTTTTGATATGTTGCAGTATTTCGAAACGATTTTGCCTTCAGTGGAAAGCCTTTCATCTTCTCAACAAGATGAGGATGAGTGGTGGCGCTGTTGGAGGCCTGTGACGTCAGCAACAATGGTCGCCAGTTTTACGCCATCTTGGATGTTACCTAGAATAAGAAATCAGATTAAAACCGGGATAAATGGTAATGTTTTGTGCTTGACATGAAAAATAACACATAAATAAGCATCATTTTATCCACATGCTTTACTTTCATTGTTAAAAGAAGTTCCAAAAACATGCATTTTCACTCAAAGACTTGATCACCTGCTAGTAATGACGTCGTATCTCGTAACCATAGAAACTGAACATCACTCAACTTATCTCAAAATGTTCCCAAGGGATAAACAAATAGCTACTGAAAACGTTAAGTGCTGATGTTTTATCGTCTAGGAAAAAAACTTTAAAAAAACCTCAGAGTAGGCGCAATTTCCAAATCCGTTTCGACTCCTGGTTCAGGTCCCGGTACTTCTCAGTTTTCTCTTTGTCTTTGTCTTTAATTTCAATCGGGTGTCAATCAATAAATATCAGACACTTCAATTCTGTTCTATCTTATCTTATCTTTTATTATTTGTTGTTGTTGCTGTTGTTCGTATTTTAAAAATGCTGAATGTCACATCATTTCCGCCCGAAAATGGCACATTCCCCTTGCTCTTTTAATAAACTGGCACTAAAATATGTGCCCTCGGGTGTATGTTTTACGAGGAGCCCATAAACCGGAGCGTGCAACTTCCATAAGTTTGTGTCTAGGCGTTTTCACGGACTTGAGTTTACTTTTAGCCGGGCTACGGTTTCGGCGCGAATTTTGAATATTTTTAAATTCCACAAACCAGTCAGCAAAACCAACAGACCTAACTATGATATATTTTGCCTTTTATTGACGTTTTTAGTTTTCCTTTTTGATATCTTATACTTCAAATGCGCTCATAGACATGTTGAAGATTCTATTTTTGCGGGAAAAAGAGCCCTAAAATGTGTCTAAAAATAAACCCGTTCGTAAAAACGCCGTGAAATAGGCCTTGCATGGAAGTTGCTCGCTCCGGGTTATGGGCTCGATCCTGACCGTGTTTTGCCAGTTATTAACTACTAACTGACTAAGAAACTGAAGGGCAATAATCTAGACTTGAGCTAGGGTTTGGTCTAATTAACAATAGGGAAAGCGCTCGAACCGGATACGTATACAAAACGTTTCGTTAGTGCAGAGTAGACTCTTACTTGTCTTCTGTTGTTTAATAGTATAGTCTGCTTGACCTAACTTGAACCTTGGAACCTAGCATCAGCGTCAAAATCTCACACAGGATTCATTTCTATTATTTCTTTGGGAACAGTAATAACCTGCTTCTTCCGCCAAATTTAGTCAAATAATTACTAATTTTGTGTATTTTGTTGCGTCGCTTATAAGTAGTTGCAATATGATACAGTGAATCCTTCAATGAGGTTATCAATTGAAATCTCGTGACCATCGAAAGGATATGCTTACGGAAATTCAGGAAAAGTACAATGTACAAAGCAAAGTGCCAAGTTTAATCTCTTAGAAAGAAAAAGAAAGTACTGATATGACATATGGAACAATCAAAACAATATAAGAAAAGATTTTACACTTTGTTGTAGTTAGTTTTTTTTATCTCAGGTAATTTTTATTTATTTATTAATTTATTTTTACTTTCTAAATTAACTACAACTGACATTTGGCTACGCAGGTTGTTTATAATATCAACTCAAAATAATTCAGCAAATTATATTACCAGTGAATATATATTGTTGTTCCACATTAGTCAATGCGAGATGCCTTACAGGAATTTATGTATTGGGTCTCTGTTAGACCAGAGCGTAAACTATCCTAAATAAGCAAGGAAAACTCGAGTAAGTATTTGTAATATTCTAAAATAACATGAAATTCAAAAATGGGAACAAAATATAAGTACAGAACCTTAGACTAGCTGTAAATTTTCCAGCTATACCATCGAATACCATCGAACACAATGACCAGCGATGCAGGAGATGCTTATCCGTGCGAGCGGCATGTCCGTGCTGTCTGACGGTAAGCGATTGCATATCTAAAGTAAAGCCTCACAGAGGACAATTCCCGTCGTAAAGAGCCAGAGTGGTCACAAGATGCTGTAAGGCGTCATGTAAAGCAACAAAGTAGTCTTCCACCGGTTTACGGGGTGTGTGAATGTCAAAACAGCCAGTAGTATTTTCCCCACTAGCCAACACATACGGAGGAGGGATATCCGTTTGAATCGCAACATCGCAAGTATTTGGTGTGTTAAGTTGTCGCATCGAATTTGACTTGGCAAAGAAAATAAAGGGGTCTCACTGGCCATGCCTCTTTGCTCAGACTCCATCATTAACAGATTTAATACCCATTGGAGTCCGGCTGTTTATAGAAAGGACACTTCTGACGTGCTGGAGTTAAGATTTGACGCTTTGCAAACGGCCTTCACTTTCAGCCTCCACTTACAGTCGGATACTATCAGTAATCCTCGCTCGTCGATCTGTTACTTTCGCTTTCTTTGTTGTAAAAGTGGCCATTGCGAAACGAAAAACTTACAAAAAAAGCGACCACGTCGATTCAAGGAGGAGGACGAGCGATGATAACTTACCGTTTTCACTTCCGCTACCGACATTCTCGTCCCCAGAGTCCGTCGTTTCTTGTTCACGTGGTCTTGAAACGAGGGGCGATTACAAATTAAGCCGAGTGGTTCTGGGGACGAGAATGGCAAACGATCAAAATAAGCCTTTGAGCATGACTAAACTAGAAAAACCTTATTTTAGAGGACTGAAGACTCAGTGAAAGAAAAAGACGAGCGCGAGGAGCCTAGGTGAGGAGTCGCCAAATTCAAATTTTCAAGGTCGGAAATACACGAATTTCTTGCATTCGAAAAGAAATAACGTAAGACAGGGGTTTACCTAACTTTGTTAGGCTAAATTTAGTAAACGTGGCTGGGAATAAAGGGAGGACTTGGACAAGATATCTGGGAACAATATCACTGGCTCCAGTCTCCTTGCTCACATAGCCCACCATATTGATTATAGTCTTGGAAGCAGCAGTTGCGTGACAAAGAGTGTGAGGAGCTATCCCTTTTAGAGGCAGTGTCCTTGTTTAAAGTGTGATGGTAAGCCGAAGCCAGCTTCCTGTTGCTTTATGTGACCATTTGAACATAGATTAAAAGTTATATGTGTTTAAAAAAGGAACAAATGCACACCACTGTGGACGCCACTGGTGGTATCAACTTTTTGAATTAACGTTGTTTTCAGAAATAAAATGTTTGCAAAATCATCAACTATTTTGTATGCATGTCCTCGCAGTCATCTCCATCATGGCCCAAACATACCTGATTTTTTATCACGGGAGTCACTCACGGCCCTTTTTCTACTTTGGGGTGGGGGTGGGGTGGCCTTGCGCAGCATGCGTAAAAAAGGGGTAGGGAGGGAAGGGAATAAGGAAGGGGGGGTGTGATAGGTCCCTTTGCTTCCACCTCCATTTTACTGCGCCTGTCACCCAGGCTAGTGGGGGACGAAGGGCTGAAAGAACTCTGCTTCATATAGCGTTCGACGTTTGCCTTGGAGTTTGACTGGGGCCATTTTTTGTGAACCAGGATTAAACTAAACAGAAGCTTACGAGCAACGTGGCTACTAGGCTTCGTAAAGTGAGATGCATATTTTCTCCTCCACAGCCTGAAGCGTTAGCGAGACGGGACGTTGGGAAATTTTGGAAATATCCCTAAGAAGCACCAGAGTATCGTTTATTGACCGCAGCTTGAATTCATTGTAACTTTAAGAGTTATCATTTCTGAAACATCAAACAAACCGGCTCTAAACTGCAATTTTCAATAGCCTGCGAGCAAGCTCTCCTATTTGGGCTAGTGAAGCGAGTCTCGCGAGAACGCGCAAGCTAAATTTTCAATAGCGGGACTTTTAGTCGACTAACAAATAGTTCCCCTCATTTTTATGGTCCAAATAAAAGAAACCTTAATTTTTAAATGCCTTTAAACGAACAGCGACATGACTCCAGCTGCGATTTTCTTAGATTCTGGTATTCAAAGCGATACTTTGTTACCCCCAAAAGTGTTCGATGAGCACCTCCTTCATTTTCAAAGGAGAGTATCCCCCTGGGGACAAGCCAGGCCTATAAAGCACATTGTTCGACGGAAATTTTCCAACTGCGGCAGGACTGTAGCTCAGTCAGTATTAAAAAGCGCTTGACTGTGAGCGGGACTACGAGGGTAATACTTAGAAATAACTGACAAATGGAGCTTGTGTTTAGATAAAGTGATTAAAACCTGGCTGGCAAGTGGCTGCCAGAAAGTGGCCGCTTACGACGCTAGGCTGTAGGCCTTACCTACCCCTCCCCTAACCCAAAGTTTCCGGTCCAATGAATAGAAGCTCTGCTAGGGGACGAGTAGGTGGGGAATTTGCCCAGAAATTATATCCACACCGTATCCTTGCGCCCTTCTTCTGCTCTCGAGCGATTCCCGGCGGTCCGTTTGCGCGAGCAAATCAGTAAAAAACTTTGAACTTCTCAGGGTTAGATTTCATGTCCAATAATTGTCTCCATTGACCTTTTGTTCCCACGTTTTCAAGCCTAAATCATTAATGATCCTCTTCAGCGTTGTTTAGCAACAGTGTGACTCTAAGCGATCTCGTCCGGGCTATGAGCCGATTAATCGGTACCTGCCTGGGGGTGCTCTCATTTATAGGCTACACAGGTACGTGCTGCTGAAAAGGATTTGTCTTTTGCCTTTCTAACTCTGGACCAGGGTATTTGAAAATCACCTTTTAATTTGTCACTGGAAGAGGCCAGGGCATATTTTACTTTAGTAAAATCCAACTAGTGGTCTATTATCAATGCTTTGTTCTGATTGGTTGAGCTACTACTAGGCTATATGTTATAGCCCACTAGTAGCGAAAAGCGCTGGCTTTGAAAACCAAAACAATGGCGGCTGAATCGCGTTTTGCGAGCTTAAGTTGTTTTGCCTCGATATTTTTGACCAACTAGTTGGATTTTACTAAAAAAATTATTCCTCTCACCCTCATGGCCTCTGATTCAATAGCCCAAATTAATTGACTCTTGTTTGACTCTAAAACAGGGTCGATTTTTCCCCCATAATCCCCGGTTATTCTCGAGCAAGCTCAAATGACTCAAATGCATTTCAAGGCGAAAAAAATAAAGAATGTACAATCTCCGACAAAACGAGTTGAGACAATTCGCCCAAAACTGGGCTTTTTTACGTTTTACTGACTTCAAAAGGAGGAAATAAAGCTTTAATTTTGCTCCCCCATCCCCTCCATGCAATGTTGTACCGCGGTTCGAGCTACCTATAGAAAACAAGACACCCCAACTGGTCAGGGAAGGGGTGTGGATTCTTTTGTTCTGCCAAGTCATCCTATTTGAGTACAATGTCTCAACAATTTTGTCGCCGATTGTAGGTATAAAAAATTAGCAAACGCGTCAAAAAAATAACGTGTACATCTATATATATTTTCGCGTATTGTCCGATCGGGGTCACAAATCTATCTATTTTTGTCTCTGAACAGACTCTGAGACACAACCCCATAAAATATAAGAATATAAGGGAGCACTGCGGGAAACAGTCCATCTAGCCTGCTAGAAAGCTCTTAATTGGGGGCGGGAATAGAGAGGAAAAAAGAGCAAGCATTTAGAATATGGACGAGCTAAAGGCGCCCCATCAAAGCCCGTACAGATCAAAAGCAAATATTTTATCATGCTCGTGAACTGAAACAATAAGTAGAGCTCTGTATAACATTTATGAATACCTAGTTAGCAAGTTTAGCTCAGAAGTTGATTTACAGAGGAGTTTACAGAGCTGTACATGTGGCTCAAATACTACCTATCGATTGGGCATAACTTTGATGAATAATTAAACGATTAACAATAAAATAGAAAAATGACATGGATCAAGGAGAGAGCCTCGTAATACTCTAGCATTTCTGGATTTCATGTGAGGTTCCCCCTTCCAACACAGTTGCTGTGATCTACTGGTCAGCCTATAAAATTCCAGCTTCCAGTCTTGGTGAAAGTCTGTTTATAGGCATTTCAGTGTGGGAAAATGTGAAAAGGGGGAAAATTAAAGGGTTTTTTTGTAGACTGCAAACTAGAAAGGTTTGCTTGTTGCGCCTATGCATAAGGCGGGTTCTTCGAGTGAAACTAGGGTGCGTCAAATAATGACCATTATTATTCATTCAAAATATTTCCCCCTTTCTGATTGGCTAAAAGCTCACGCATAATTCACCATAACCTGTTACTGATGACCAAATTTGGAAGAATTTTGTGCTTAGCGAGGAAATGACGTCAAAAATGCAGCGTTTTTGCAGGTTAATGAACTGTTAACCGAGAAGACCTGGGGACGAGGTTGAGTTGTTTTGGTTGTCGAAACAAAAAATGGCGGACAGTTCACTCGTTTCAAGAGCAAGAACTAGGAGAAATAATAGCTAAAAACATGGCAAGAACAGCAAGAAGACAACTCGAAGGGCGACATCTGCTGCTTGGAGAATATTTGCTGAGCTGAACAACCCTAAACGTGCACTATCGAAGATGAACTTAATATCGATGGATCATGGAGGTAAGCATGTTTTAGCTATGTTTTTAAACCAGGAATTATTTTGAATGAATAATAAAACAATTATTGAATTCGGCTTTCGTATCATATGAAGAATTACGGAAATCCCTCCTCGATCTCCATAATTATTCATAAGATACTCAGCCTCATTCATTAATTGTTAAATAATCCTCACCGAGAGAGGACATATTCATTATCTCAGCCTGATCTTAATACTCGATATGTATCGAATGGAAAGATTTCTACTCTTTTGTGATTTGAAAGTTAAAGCCAACCTAAAGAAAAAAATAAGTGCTTATGGCAAAGCATGAATTTTTGCTTTTTTACATGCTCTTTCAGAACTACTCACACTCTTCAAAGTGTAACTTTGAATCAAAACGCTGAAAACAACAATAAATCGAGTATTTAGAACCTAACAAAAAAGCTTGGATCAAACTCGAAGAAACAATTTTTTGAAAAATGAAGGCAAAGCGAACATTCTTGACTCTGAACCGACTCTTTCCTAACCGAAGGGAGAATGCAATCTTCGATCACTCTTATCGGAGTTACAACGAGGAAACACCCTCAATCAAACTGAGTAGTCACTACCTTTTTGACATAGTGCAAATCCTAAAGAAGTACAGTGTAAACCTAAAGAAACATTACACACGTATTACTAAAAAGTATTTTTTATGAGAGATCACGTACCTATTAGTAAGTACGTGATTGGTTTCTTCGATCACGTTTCGAGTTGGGTTTATGAGCACGAGATGCATTTCTTAGGACCTCGAGAACTGGCTGACCACAGTTAGGTGGACTATGAAATCCTTTTAAAAATGCCAGGTTCTTTTGGGATCGCAAAACAAGACCCAGTGTCATTAATACCTTGGGATATGAAACGTGAGACTGACATGTATTACGACCAGAAAACTGAAATATAAATAAAGCTGGCCCGGTTCCTTGAAAGATGGTTAAGTTTAACCCAGGATTAAGCCAAATTGTAAGCAAGGTTTTGTTGGCTAAGAACATGCAACTTGAGTTTACAAAATGTTGTTGTATCTTTACTCCGTGATACAATAATGATAACACAAAATGTTATTCTAAGCAATACATAGAAAGGTAAAATATAAAAACAGTACAGAACAAAATGTTTATCCTGGATTAGCGCTAATTGGCCTTTCAAATAAAAGGAAAGAGCACTTACACACTACAGAGAGTTACTATCCGCATTACGCTGATAGGGGTCCTCTGAAACACGGCATACGAGTCACATCCCGCATATTACGATTCTATGGATTCTAGTTCTAAACCGTCAGCTAAGAAGAATGGAAATCAAAGGGTGTTACAACTAAAGACAGGATATCTATCATTACGTCAAAAGCGTGAAAAAAGAGCTCAGGGGGGCTGAGATTAATGTGCCAAATTGTGTTTAACAGTTCGGGAGTATGCCAGTTTTGGAAGAAGCGATGACGTCATGATTCCATTGTTCTGCTAAAAACACGCAAAAATAGGAAAAAATAATCGCAAGAAACAAGGGAGCTTTTTTCAAAGCCTGTTCCAGATCTCCTCGTTCAATATCCGGGACTTCCGAGCAAGCAGTACCGATGAAGAAGCCTTCTCCTTGCTTTTTGAATGGGCAAGTACTTCATGGCTGAATGCCATATACACGACAAGCCCACAATGCCTTGCTAGTACCTGCAATGCGCTGGCAGTACGTGTACTATAAGTAGAAGGTGTACTAGCTCTAGTAGCTGCAGTAGCTGTATTATCTGTAGTAGGTGTAGTAGGTGTAGTAGGTGTAGTAGTTGTAGTAGGTGTAGTAGCTGTAGTAGCTGTAGTAGCTGTAGTAGCTGTAGTAGGTGTAGTAGGTGTAGTAGCTGTAGTAGCTGTAGTAGCTGTAGTAGCTGTAGTAGCTGTAGTAGGTGTAGTAGCTGTAGTAGCTGTAGTAGGTGTAGTAGCTGTAGTAAGTGTAGTAGCTGTAGTAGGCGTAGTAGCTGTAGTAGCTGTAGTAGGTGTAGTACGGTGTAGTAGGTGTAGTAGCTGTAGTAGCTCTAGTAACTGTAGTAGGTGTAGTAGCTGTAGTAGGTGTAGTAGCTGTAGTAGGTGTAGTAGCTGTAGTAGGTGTAGTAGGTGTAGTAGCTGTAGTAGATGTAGTAGCTGTAGTAGGTGTAGTAGCTGTAGTAAGCGTAGTAGCTGTAGTAGCTGTAGTAGCTGTAGTAGGTGTAGTACGGTGTAGTAGCTGTAGTAGCTGTAGTAACTGTAGTAGGTGTAGTAGCTGTAGTAGGTGTAGTACGGTGTAGTAGGTGTAGTACGGTGTAGTAGGTGTAGTAGCTGTAGTAACTGTAGTAGGTGTAGTAGCTGTAGTAGGTGTAGTAGGTGTAGTACGGTGTAGTAGGTGTAGTAGTTGTAGTAGCTGTAGTAACTGTAGTAGGTGTAGTACGGTGTAGTAGTTGTAGTAGGTGTAGTAGCTGTAGTAGCTGTAGTAGGTGTAGTAGCTGTAGTAATAGTAATAGTAATAAATTGCTTTATTTGCATGACCGCATCATTTTACAGTATTGCAAAAGCATGTATATGACAATCAAAATATAAAACAAAACAGCACTAATAATAATCTAGAAAAATTCGGTTACATTACTAACGATGAATCACGTATTTTCATGCAGGAGGAAACAAACTTCATAACTAACTTATTTACATGATGTTCCTTCGAATTCATTATCAGTTTTATGCTTCCTGGAGATGATTTCTTGTCAAAGTCAGGTATTATTCGATTGATTTGATTAATAAATGCCTGTCTCTGTACTGAGTATTTGTTACATTGAAAGAGGAAATGAATCTCATCTTCTACCTGATTTGAGTTACATAAAGGACATAATCTATTTTCTCTTGGCAAATGATCGATTTGGTATCGACCATGTTCAATCATAAGTTTGTGATTACTTGTTTTAAATTTAACAAAATTCTGTCGTTCGTCATAATGTCTTAGCTGGTAGAGATAATCAGATGTAGAATATTCATCTTTAAAATTTTTATAAAATTCTAGTTTTTTTGAATTTTCGAGGCTGTGCCGCCAAAAAGATAGATATTTCTTTCTCATTTCTGTGGTATATCGTCTAATTTTATCATTATCTAGAGATTCAGCATCTAAACTGGTTAGATTGTATTGTTCAAGCATGTTTATGGAATTGGAAAAATATCCGGAATTATTCATAGAATGTAGATTCTTTGACATAAGGAAAGACTGTTTGACTATAGAGTCATTATCTTTGTTGTTGAGGTAAACAAAATATTTCATAATTTTCTGATTTATCGGGATAAGCAGCGGCAGTCTATCAAGTTCAGCTCTGCAGGCTACGTTAGAGGCCTTATTGTTAACCTCTAAGTAACGTTTACAGAATTTGAGGTGGATTTTTTCTATTGGGGAGCTATCCCATTTTTTAAAATCTTGCTTGGTGTACATTCCCCATACCTCGCTGTTGTAACTCAAGATTGGGAATACCATGGTGTCAAAAATTTGGGATGCAGTATTAGGATTAAGTTTGTTAAGAATTGTCCGCTTCCAAATACTAGAAAACGCGTGAAGGGCCTTTTCTTTTAAGTGTTCGAGTGCAAGTGTAAAGTTTCCCGTTGAGTTAAACGTGTACCTAAATAAGTGTATTCTTGGACAATTTCAATTGACTCACTGCCTATGTTGAATTTGATGTCAATAGATTTTTTTTGGGCGTTTCTGGAATATCATAATTTTTCTTTTCTTCGGATTAATTTTTTAGCTTCCATTTGTCACAATACAAAGAAAGCGCATTTAAACAGTTCTGTAATCCAGTTTTCGATCTTGATAGAATAACTAAATCATCTGCGTACAAAAGTGAATTTATTTTTTTTTCCCATTTGGGAGAACAAATGGGTCAGATAAGGTGTTTTCGAATAAAAGTGGTAGATTGTTTAAATAGAGGTTAAATAAAAGAGGGCTTAAAATACAGCCTTGACGTACACCTCTGGAATATGAAAAAGGCTGTGTTTTGTTTTCACCGATTTTGATGGAACATGTCGAGTTGCAATAAAGACTTTTCATGAGGTTGTACAAGTTTCCTCCTATATTCGTTTTTAGCAGCTTATAAAACAATCCTTCGTGCCAAACAGAGTCAAACGCTTTGCGGAAATCTACGAAACAAGCGTAGACTTTTTCCTTGTGATAATGCACATATTTATCTATTAGGGTCCTTGTAGTAGCTGTAGTAACTGTAGTAGGTGTAGTAGCTGTAGTAGGTGTAGTAGGGTAGTAGCTGTAGTAGGCGTAGTAGCTGTAGTAGCTGTAGTAGGTGTAGTAGCTGTAGTAGGCGTAGTAGGTGTAGTAGGTGTAGTAGTTGTAGTAGTTGTAGTAGCTGTAGTAGCTGTAGTAACTGTAGTAGGTGTAGTAGCTGTAGTAGCTGTAGTAGGTGTAGTAGGTGTAGTAGCTGTAGTAGCTGTAGTAGGTGTAGTAGCTGTAGTAGGCGTAGTAGGTGTAGTAGGTGTAGTAGTTGTAGTAGTTGTAGTAGCTGTAGTAGCTGTAGTAACTGTAGTAGGTGTAGTAGGTGTAGTAGGTGTAGTAGCTGTAGTAGCTGTAGTAGGTGTAGTAGCTGTAGTAGCTGTAATAGCTGTAGTAGCTGTAGTAACTGTAGTAGGTGTAGTAGCTGTAGTAGCTGTAGTAGCTGTAGTAGGTGTAGTAGCTGTAGTAGGTGTAGTAGGTGTAGTAGTATGTCAGCATAAGTTTACATTAAGCAGTTGGTTTCCTGGCTGATATAAAAAGGGGTGCAACATTGAGTCACCAGAGAATTGTACAAATGCAAAAGTCTAAAGAAGTTCAACTCCTGTCGAATAAAAGTCAGAGTCAAGAATACAGTCGACTTATCTTTGTTGAAAGGGAAGCTAGTCCCCTTTCAACAGGATGTGCAACTGCAAATTAAGAGTTGGCGGTGAATGGCAATCGCAATTGGTTCTTGCTCACGTTCAATATTGGTACAGGACCCACTACCTGAATATTGTTGGGTGCGGTTCTCTAAATACGACTAAAACCATTTTAATGAATTCCCAGATATCCCATTAAAGTCAAGCTTAGATAAAAGAATCTTGTGGTCAACGGCATCGAAAGCTCTCTTTAGATCTTGAATAATAACCGCGTTGATTTTCCCAAAGTCTATATTATATGCCCGGGAGTCAGTTGCCTCAAGCAAAGCTGTGACAGTTGAATGAATAGCACGAAAACATGATTGATGTTGACATAGTATACAGCTACTACAGCTACTACAGTTACTACACCTACTACAGCTACTACAGCGACTACAGTTACTACAGCAACTACAGCTACTACACTACTACAGCTACTACAGATACTACAGTTACTACACCTACTACAGCTACTACACCTACTAAAGATACTACAGCAACTACAGCTACTTACAGCTACTACAGCTACTACAGTTACTACACCTACTACAGCTACTACAGATACTACAGCTACTACAGCTACTACACCTACTACAGCTACTACAGCTACTACAGCTACTACGCCTACTACACCTACTACAGCTACTACAGCTACTACAGATACTACACATACTACACCTACTACAGATACTACAGCAACTACAGCTACTACAGCTACTACAGATACTACAGTTACTACACCTACTACAGCTACTACACCTACTAAAGATACTACAGCTACTACAGTTACTACACCTACTACAGCAACTACAGCTACTACAGCAACTACAGCTACTTACAGCTACTACAGCTACTACAGTTACTACACCTACTACAGCTACTACAGATACTACAGTTACTACAGCAACTACAGCTACTACACCTACTACAGCTACTACAAGTACTACAGCTACTACAGCTACTACAGCTACTACGCCTACTACACCTACTACAGCTACTACAGCTACTACAGATACTACACATACTACACCTACTACAGATACTACAGCTACTACAGCTACTACAGCTACTACAGCTACTACACCTACTACAGATACTACAGCTACTACACTTACTACAGCTACTACACCTACTACAGCTACTACAGCTACTACACTTACTACAGCTACTACACTTACTACAGCTACTACACCTACTACAGCTACTACACCTACTACAGTTACTACACTTACTACAGCTACTACAGCTACTACAGCTACTACACTTACTACAGCTACTACAGCTACTACACCTACTACACCTACTACAGGTACTACACTTACTACAGCTACTACAGCTACTACACTTACTACAGCTACTACAGCTACTACAGCTACTACATCTACTACACTTTCTACAGCTACTACACCTACTACACCTACTACACCTACTACAGTTACTACACTTACTACAGCTACTACAGATACTACAGTTACTACAGCTACTACAGTTACTACAGTTACTGCAGCTACTACAGCTACTACAGTTACTACAGCTACTACAGATACTACAGTTACTACAGTTACTACAGCTATTACAGTTACTACAGCTACTTCAGGCACTGCAGGCACCACATGTACCTATACATGTAACGCAGCGTTCAGCTACTACAGGTACTAGCAAGGCATTGTGGGCTTGTCGTGTATATGGCATTCAGCCATGAAGTACGCGCCTCTGAATGTCAAGGGAAGTTTCCTGCCGCATTTCGGTAGTTAAAAGCGACAGTTTTCAAATGGCCTTCGACGCCGCCGCCGCCATCTTGACGGGTATCGAATGTAAGTACATGACTTTATGTTTAGTTTTCAGTATCTTGCCGAATTTTTACGAAGTCAAGACTAATTTTCCTCAAAACTATAACGTTTAAAGTGTGGTCAGGCAAAGTTTCATCGATGGCAACAACCTAGTAAAAATGGCAACCACACATTGAAAATTGCCAACGGACAGGAAGGGTTACTGATATTGATGGTTATGCCTTAGTCTGTCTATGTAGTTTTAGTTATAATCGATCAGGTCTGTTTTTGGTCGTGTTCACCGGCAATGTATGCGACTCTCATGATCATCTAGAAATCACTTTATTGATCCAGATCATGTGTGTGGAATGAGTTTTAAATCAGTGTGAGTAGGTTCTTATATTGATTTCTTTTATTTTGATCAGGCTTTCCGTCAAAAATGTAGACAAACATCTGGAGATATTACGAACATGTTGTCGCGTTTGTGCCAAAAAGCTGGGAAAAGGAACCAGGAAGACAAAATGCTAAATATCTTCAGAACCACATATTTGTGCTCTGAGGGCAAAATATTGCTTTAGGTTCGCCTAATGTTCCACTGTAATGAAAAATTTAATGTCCAAATTCAACCCTACCTCAATAAAATTAAATATGTTTTTTTTGTTTTTTTGTAGTGTGGTCACAGGCTTACCCACCACAAAAGCCCCTCCTTTGACCCGTTCAAAAATGGGTAAGAGGGAAACAGGTTGGAGGGGGGCTTACATACCTTGTGAGTGGAAGCTCACACTCAATGACCATTCAAGAAGAAGAGACTGTGGCCCTTATTCAAGGGGCTTTAAAGGAGATAGATGAGGAAGGAGTCATGGAAGTGGAGGCTTGTGAAGATTTTCTCTACATAATGTTCAATCCCTCGCGTCAAATATTGTTTATACTTTACAGATGCCAAATACATAACATGTTCAGTCCCTGTGCTGTGCAAAAGGTCAATCTGAAACATGAAAAATGCCACACTCTCCCCCATCAATCCCTGTGCATGAGCAATGAGCCCACATTTGATGTCATACTATCGAATATGTGTGTATTTGAATAAATCCTAAATTATTGAGATTCTATTGATGAAAAAGCATCTATGTTAATGCATCGTCCTCTACAAATCATCCTCCCAAATAAATAATACATGAGAGACATCTCACAAGATAACTATTGAAAATTGATGTCAGCTGCTTCATTATATCAATTAAGTTTTGGTTTTTGGTTTTCATGTCCAAGAAGGTGTTAAAAAAACTAGATTTTGAGATAAAAGAGTGTGTATAATTATATGCGAGCCAGCGAGCCATGGCAGCGAGTCATGCAGGTCAGAATCAAAAACAGTAATATGGAAAGAATTAACTGTCAGGACCTAAGATAAAATGTTTATTTACAAAAAACAAAATGTAACAATAAATAACTTTTATTGTATCTTTACTCTGATGTGTGAGCTTTGTTTTCTTGAAAGTGCTGTTCAATAGAAACATGAAGAACCGGCTATGAAAAAGAACTTTGGAAAACTTATGTTGTGTCCATGCCAAGTGCAGTAATCATTATTATTTTGGGCCAAACCTTGTCTAATAGAATTGTTTGAGGGTCCCCACAGAGAAGACTTGGAGAAAAGTGCTCCTCAAAGTTACAATGCCTTTGGTTTAAAGGTAACCCCAGAGTTAAAAACAATAATTTAGTATTATTCGGATGTAACATCAAATCCCATACAAGAGGATATTTTATAACAAACCATAACCTTGTTGATCTCTGACCTCTGGTCAAATCCGGTGGACTACAAGACTATAGTATCCCATTTTAATCAATAGATCCAAAAGCACGTAACAAGCATAATTGTTAGTTTTCCAATACGTATATTAAATTCTTAAGAGCCTCTTGCATTTGTTAAGCTTGACCAAATAATCAGTGAACTTCAGAAAGTGGAATAATTGAAAGCAATAGGTTTTTTTGAAGCGGGACAAAAAAAAATGATCAGGGATGATAAGTAAGATTTTCACTTTGTGGGTTTTCAAGAAGAAAACGCGGGCACAATACCCTCAGAAATCCCTTGTAAACCTGTTGTATACCTGGACGGAACCGCTTCAAGACATAAACCAACAGAACATCATATTCGAAAAAACAGATATTTTACTCACAAATGACTCGCTTGCACCAAAACAATAACCTGAATTACAGCCGTCTTCTCCGGCCAGTCGCTCACTCGCGGGAGAGAAACAGAAGCAACGGGAAAAATTACATTAACACTTACTGTGAAAGCAAACATAAGGAAATGAATTATAGAACAACTCACTTTTTAGTTGTTTCCAAAGCATTCTTTTTTCCTTATGATATAAAAAAGTAATGAAATAAATAGGCACAAACTTGTTAGCGTGCTTACCTATTTTCGATGTACTGATTACATACGCAGTGAGTACGCAGTGCCTACTAAGCGCGCGATAAGCGAAGAACTATAGCGCACGAATGGTTACTCCCTGTCCTCAAGGTACTTCTCAATTCATAGTAACGAAAAGACAAATAAAAGGCTCGATAAAACAAGAATAAACGATAATTTTGGTCAATACTCTTTCCTCTCCTCTCCCTTGTCCGCCATTTTGTATGTTTTGAAAATGACCATCGCCATGGTGATCATGTTATGGTTGGTGACGTAGACTATTGTTTTCGCTTCTTCCAAAACTGGCATACTCCCGAACTGTTTAAGGAATTAACAAACTACCCTTGAAAGTAAGAGACGCTGGCAAACAATAGTTTAAACTGTGATTAGAAGCAGAAAACCAGACTGAAAATTAAAAAGATCTGTTCAGCCTTAAAGTGTCAATTCAGCCTTGCAGGCCAAAGTGTGATTCAGCCGTTCCTGGAGCCATTTGAGCACCATGATTTAAGCCAAAAAAGCTCAATCAAAAGGCTATTCCAGCTTACGCTGGAGCCCATTTCAGCTCTTGGGACCAAATCAGCCTTAGCTAATTGGACTGTATTGGCCCTGATTTAAGGGAGCGAAATTAGACTGAAAA